ACAGGCACGTGAAAAAAATGTTCATCATCACTTACTACCAAGAAATACAAACCAGAGCCACAGCAGGGCACCACCTCACACCTGTTAGGATGGGCTACAGGAAGCAGGCCAGAAAGTGCTGATAAGAGGGTGGGTGGGCAAGGGGTGCAAAAGAACCCCTAAATACTGGTGGTGAAAATGATAATTAGTCCAGTTTGTATGAAAACTGTAGGGGGGGTCTTCAAAAAATTAAAAATAGATCTGCCATATGATCCAGTAATTTCACTCCCACACATATAGCTGAAGAATATAAAAATACTAATTTGAAAGGATATCTGCTCTCCAATGTTCTCCACAGCACTATTTATAATAACCAGGTTATGGAAATGACCTAAGTGCTCAATGCTGGATGATTAGATAAAGAAGATACGGAACACACACACAATAGAATACTACTCAGCTATTAAAAAAAGAAGAAATCTTGCTATCTGCAACAGCATGGACAGAATTGGAGGGGATTATGCTAAGCCAGATAAGTCAGATGAAGGAAAATAAGTATCAGGTGAATCTACTCACATTCGAAATATAAAGGAACAAAGCAAAAGAACAGATAAAACTAATCCCCCCAAATCCTTAGATTCTGACTGCAGAACTGAGGACACAAGAGCGGGAGGGAAGGTGGGCACGCAGGGCGCAGGGCTCAGTGGGCTTTGGTGGAGGCTCGCTGGTATTTGCTGGTAGGCACAGTGCGGTTAGCATACATTTGAAAAGGGTAAACCTGTACTTCTAAACATATACTGTGTTACAAGTAAAGTCACCTTAATTAAAAAAAAAAAAACTGAAGACTGAAAGTACAGCAACAAATTCTCACCTCCTCCACTTCACTCCACTCTCCAACAACAGTCAGGTGACAGCACCGGTAAGGACAAAAAGTTTCTCTCTCGGGAAACTGACCAGGAAGTCCCTGGACTCAGGAGCACCAGGTAGAGGGGGAATATGTGGTCAGAATTACAATGGAGGGCCCTCCCTGGTGGCACAAAGGGTTAGGACGCAGCACAAGCTAGCTGCAGTCGCTTCAGCATGAGTTCGATCCCCGGCCCTGGAGGTGACCCACATGGCGCGGCAGACCTCTCCTACCTGCCTGCTGCTCCCCTCAGCAGTATACTTTCTCGATCAGCCTGTTCTGCTCCCCATTCTGTCTCTGGTGAATCCTCTCACCGCCCCCACACCTCTGGCCTCTACCCCAGTTTTATATGCATAAATAAATCTTAAAAAAAAATAAGAATTACAATGGAGAGGTAAATTAGTTTACATCAAATTGCTGAATCCACACACATGCCTCCTGATCAGCATTTCCATAACCTTGACTCAATTATACCCCAGATATAAAGAAATTCTACCCAGCCCCACTGGGGTAACATCAGGAGTGGTGACTGATGTGTTATATGTGGAGTGGAGCCCTGAAAACAACCAAGTTGCCCATCACAGGGAGAGGGTAGTAAAATGTTCATGATACCACTCATGTAAATTTTGAAAGACTACATGAAACACTTTCATTCTCAAGAACATATACTAAAAGTAGACACGCGAAAGACACACTACAGGGTCACTTATGGGGGAAGTGGTGACACAGTAATAAAAAACTTGCAAGCTGACCACAGATCTGAGATGTACTGATCGAACAGAGGGATGGATGAGCATAAGAGACTGTGTTTCACAAGTGCTGTGCTGATGGCGAACTACAGGGACTACACTCAAGGGGAGAAACCAAATATGGTCCAAAAATTAACAACAATGTAAGAAAATATAAAACATTTTTAAAAGGGAAGTGAACTTTTATTTATTCCAGAAGTGTGCTGTTTAAAAATAAAGTGAAATTCAACACACTAATAAACAAACTCATACAATCATCTCAATTATTGTAGAAAAAGACTTTCATAAAGTCTGACTTCCATTCATGACAGAAAGAAAGCACTCTCAGCCAACCAGGAATGAAAGGAAACCTCTTTCACCTGATAAAGCTTCTGCAAGCACTTCAACAACATACTTAATGAATGCAGAAAGCATTCTCATTGGGATTAGTAGAAACATAGGAATGTCTGCTAAGCCAAAGTCAATACTGCACTGGAGGTTCTAGCTGGCATCAGACCAAAGGGAAAAAAGAATGATTAATATTTTAAAGTATAAGGGTAGAGGGAAGAAACAAAGCTATCATTATGGAGATGATAGAGTTGTTTACAGTAAATCCGAAAGAACCTGAGTACAAATTTCTAGAATGAATAAACTAAACAAATTATTAAAATAGTGGATTAAAATACAAAATAATTTGCATTTCCATATACTAGCACCAAACGATAAAGAATACAATTCCAAAAAGACATCATTTACACAAATGTATATATTTGCCCCAAAATGCATTGAATTATATACTTAGTGGGTGCATTTTATTGCATGCAAATTATCTATTTAAAAACTATAGGGAAAAGGCACCATTTGCACAGTGATAACAAATTAACATATAAAAGACTTTCTGGGGCAAATAATAAAACGCTACTGAAAGACACTAAAGGATATTTAAGAGGAAAGAAAAATCACAATCATGGGATAGAAGATTTAAGATTGTAAAGATGCCGGTTCACTCCAATTTGATGTTTAAAGTCAGTGAATCGCCAATCCAATTCCCCACAAGCTATTCTGAAGGACTGGGCAGCCTGCGCAACAGACAGCAGAGGACTAACGATGGACGAGACACACCTGAAGGAAATCACTGAATGCCTGGTGGTAGGTAAGGTAGTAAGATCCTGGAACCCGGATAGACAAAATGTGAAGAATGAGGAACCTGAAGCCAAAGGTGCATGTCTGGAAATTTCACTGGTGACAATGGAAGCACTGTGGGTGTGGGGGAAACGGTGGATTCTCAAATAAATGGCCCCGGCACAAGTAAGTATTCTACTGCCAAGGAGCAAGGACAAGAACATTAGACATTCTGCATACACCACACACAAACACCCGTTCCCGTTGAATCAAAAACTAATGTGCTAGGTGACGTAAATCAGACCCAGAAAGGCAAATCGTCTCACTCATGTGGGGGGAAAAATGGACAATCAAAACAGAAATAAAGTGGCTGTCCCCAAGGGAGAGGAATAAATCAGGCAACAGGACAAGACCATCAGCAGGGAGGGAAAAAGAGACTTTGGTGGTGACATGCAGCCCCCACAGATGATGGATTGTGCTATATACCTGAAACCCACGCGATGTCATAAACCAGTGTTATTCAGGGGGAAATAAGACATGCAAAAAGAACATCTCCAAAACTTCTAAAAAAGAGGGAAGGGGGAGGAAAGGAAGGAGAAAGGAAATATGGGGAGAGGTTGTGGGGAGCCGATACAATGCTGGGGCAGGCAAAGATTTTTTTTTAATAATAGTTTTACATCACTTTGTGCCTTTTTCCATCTCAGTTGCAATCCCCGTGGGCTTCCCATCACCAATTCACCCTTGTGCCATCACCATAGTCTCATGCACTTCCTCCCTACCCCATTCAGGCAAGGGTTCTTTTAAAACAGAAAGTGCAACTTAAAAAAACAATAGTCTAAAAGGAAAAATGTTTAACAATTTTAGCCAAAAATGGATTACAGAAAAAATTCTATGGAACATAGTTAAGGGAAAGCCTTTTTTTTTTTTTTCTGGCAGGAAAAAGGTAATGGAAAACTGAAGGAAAAATAACAAAAACTAGACCGGAAAGTCAATCCATTTGTAGAATCAACAGCAGTGATTTTGCGCAATCCGTGGTATGTGAGGAAGACATCCGGCTAGACTCTGAGGAGAAGAGAAGCACAGGGCCAGCCAGGGAGCTGCACAAGAGTGTGAGTGACATCAACTGCAATGCTGCCACTTGGCTTTCAGCTTTTAGACTTAACCCTTAGTAAGGCTGAGAAAACTTAGTCAGGTTACAGAAGAGACCAGAAATATTATCATCTTTGAAGCAGATAAAAGTAATGGCATTGATGAAAAATGGCAGGAGGAAAAGGAGAAAGGAAACTTAGAAAGTACTAACTTCTGCAGTTTACACAGTGGAAGTCATTGTAAATGAGGTGGTTTCTTTATATCATAGAAGGAGTTCAATAATGTCTAAATCTGGTAAATTAATAAATGACGCTCTAAATATGTTACGTAGAGATATGGAGAGACCCACCAGTAGAGCTAAAACCCAGAGAGAATTCAATAAAGCAACGAGAGGTTGTGCTACATTTCATTACGTGCTCTTACTAGCAATTTTTAATTCATATGTATGTATCATTTTAGTACAATATTGAATAAAAAAATCAAGAATCTCAAGAACTCAAGCTATAATCACAAGGTCAGTGAAAGAAAATGAATGTCTACGCCAACAAAATACCCTCTACATACCTGCTAAAGATTAATGATCAAAAAAAATCTACCAATGTTACCTAGCACAGTATATAATTCATACCACTAACAGTGAAGACATCAGTCTAGAAGGTAAATCTCATCCTTCATTTTGTTCTCCTCTGCCTCACTTTTCCTCTTTATTTCTCTAATTTTTCTATTCTCCACTAACATTCTTGTATTTCGCATGACTACTCAAATAGATGAGTGTGTGTGTTTGTATATCTATCTAGTTTTACTTATAATCTTGTTTTCCCAACTTTTTCTTAACACAAAAAAGCAAATTAAATCCATTCCATTGTCAGGGAGTCTGAACTAATCTTTAAATCTCAGTGTGAATTATGAGTCTGAAAAGAAACGCCTGTTACCCCTGGCCTAAGGGAAGAATGCACACTCAGGGCAAGCTGGCCCCTCAGAGTAGCAATGGTAAGATACAGCTAGGTTTCCACGCGGATCCCGGGGTGACTGAGAGAAATCAAAGCTCCAAGTCATAAGTCCATCAAAAGAAAAGAGCAGGAACTGAAGCGCCCATGTGTGGTGACATTAGAGTTTGATCCAAAAGAATCTAGCAAGGTCTCCATTTCAGTGGAATCCAGATCCAGGTATATACTTACACTATATTTGCAAGGTCAAGTGGTTTCTCTGGTTGCTCAGGAAAAACAGGATGTGGGGGTTCTCTGGTGGGTACACACCCCAAAGATTTACTAATTGCATGGCTCAGCTTCTTTGCAGGGGATTTCTGTGTCAAAGTAAAAAAGAAGGAAAGAAGGAATTAAATTTTCAAATGAACAAGAAAGAATTTCAAAACAACTTGGTGACAGGGCTGTAGAAAGCATCTTCTGAACACACACCACAGTGTCATAACTTTGGTCGTTGGCCCTACAGAGAGGAACCTTCAGGGGCTCCAAGAGCCCCGTCAGTCACAAGGGCCCCGTCTGTGGTTCCTTCACTGCTCTGCTTCGCCCTCATTTCCACTAGCACCCACACTTAAGTTGACATCATGTTCCCTTTGAACATCTCTCTGTGCCCTTTGCATAAATTCCCTCCCTCTTTTGAAGTTTCTGGGTCATTTTTTGTAAGATATGATAATTTGCCCGTCAGAGTCAGAAATGTTTGCTGGGCTAGAATCTTAAGAGGCTACAACAGGGCCCTCCCTGGTGGCGCAACGAGTTACAGCGCAGAATGTGGACCTATTGCAGCCACTGCAACACAAGTTCGACCTCTGTCCAGGGAGCTGACCCACATGGCCAGCAGATCTCTCCTGTCTTGCCCGCTGCTCCCCTCAGCAGTGTACTTCGTGGATCTGACTGTTCTGCTCCCCACTCCCATCTCTGGTGAATCCTCTCCCCACTGTATTTATAAATAAATCTTTTTTTAAAAAAGGGGGGGGGTGGATGGTTCAAACAATGCCCAGAGCACACAGCGTCTGCATGTTAGCGAATAAGCTAACCCACACCCCACAATGTGCCTAGAAAGGGAGTATTTCCAAAACAAACGGGAGGCAGGCATGTGGCAGGAAGGGTCTGGCTACATCTTGCTGACATGAATGTCTGCAGACATAGACAGGCCGTCAGCAGCACCCAGACTCCAGTTAAGTATGCTCATGCTCCAGAGTCAGCTGCATGGTAAACGTTCTCCAGAGGGTGGAATAGTGGACAGCAAATCCAAGGTCTATGAAGCAAAAGTGAATATGCATAAATGTACAATACGCCTCAATCCAGTTATGGAGAACACTTGTGTCTAAAAAGACATATATCCCATTATTTCCCTCATGTGTGGGAATCAGAGAAACAAAACTAAGGCACAGACAAAACTAAACAAATATGACCACAGAACTGAGGGTTGGGAACAAGGTGGGGAGGGGAGCAACCGCCTGGGGGAAAGGAACATGGGTGTTTCGGGCGTGGGGGTATAGAAACACGTCTGAGGAGGTGTGAACTCATCCTCCTAAATCATCCTCCGCAGCAGGTCACCGCGATGAGCTGCTGTAACCAGACAGCAGGCTGTCGCGGCCCGCCTCCCTCCTCCACTCGCTTTCCCGCCTCTGTAAGCCGCTCACACATGCTTCAGTGCAAAAGAAACTGCGCTTTTTGTATTGATAAAATTGCATCTTGTTTGTAATCAAGATTAACATCAATCTCTTCAGATATTTTGCATATTGGCTCCACATCTCTACTAGTGAAATCACATGCATCTCTTCTAACAACATTAAAACACTATGTGGCTACTAAAATAAAAAGTATTTTCCTTTGTTCCAACCAATATTCTATAGAAGTGTGCTTGTAATACTTTTAGAAAATACTGCTTTTTTTTTTTAAAGATTTATTTATTTATGCACATAGAACTGGGGTATAGAAATGCAGGGGAGGTGTAAGGATTCACCCGAGACACAGTGGGGAGCAGAACAGGCAGACTGACGAAGGACACTGCTGAGGGGAGCAGCAGGGAGACAGAAGAGGTCTGCTGCACCATGTGGATCAGCTCTGAGCGGGGGCTCGAACTCACACTGAAGCAACTGGGGCTGGCTCGCAATGCTGCACTTTAACCCACTGCGCCACAGGAGAGGGCCTAGAAAATACTGCTGTAAGCCAAAGTTTAAGTTCAAGTATCAAAAGTATAGAAAAGTAAAATCAATATATCAAATCAACTACAAGTACTGTATCAAGAAGGGCTAATTTTATTTTCCTTCTTTGGCAATTATATGTAAATACTGCCAGTGGTTGCCTTTTATTTCCTTTGAAGTAGAAAAGTTTGAGAACTTAGTGTCAGATTCCTGGTAGATGCACTGTACACGCAGGCTCATTTAAGCCTCCAAATTGTCATATGAATTAGATGTGACTGGCTCCAATTTTAGAGTTACGGAAACTAAAGTTCCTATAATTAGGTCTGTCTTGCTCTGTTCAAGGTACAATGCAGACCCCAGGCAGGTGAAATCACTCAGAGAAAGAACATCCAGAGATGGCAAAGACAGCTCAGGACAATGGGACATTCTTGCAAGGGTGTAAGAAACAGGTTGGGGGTGCTGAGGGCCCCCCCGGGGGTCAGAAGGGCAGATGGAGTTGTCAGGGAAGGACACGGCTGGGGGGATGGGAGGTGACTTAGGCCGCAAGCACTGCTGAGCCAGGGCTGAGAACTGTCCTCAGATAATCGTGGACCAGGCACTTAAACACTCTGAACAAGCTGTTTGAGCTCAGATGATTTATAGTTTCAACAGCCTCAAGCTAATTCCTTGCCCAAGACAATCTTCGGCTCAGGGTCCATGCTGACAGCCCGTGACACAGCACGAACACAGGGGCCGAGTGGGGACAGCCCAGGCTGGTGCCTGGGAGGCCATTCCTGTCATGGTCACTTCAAATTGCCCTGTAAGTACATCATCCTGAGCTCCGAGCCACTGTCTGAGGGGCCCAAGCTGAAAACAAAGGCGTATTAGATGCTCAGACACGTCAGGAACCTCCTGTTTTAACATGAATTATCCACGCTCACCAGCATCTTTTCTGTGATCCTGTTGCATTAAGTTCTCTTTGCAATCCTGCCTCAGCCCTGATTGTGTTGTCGAATACTTCAGCTGCGTCTTATTTTAAGCCCGCCTGAACTAGTCATTATTTTGCACTTGACTTTTAATTTACCCATATTTACCAACTCCACTGCATACTATTTCTTCTTGTATCCTGTTTCTCCCTTTTTGCTTCTAATTTTCCCCACAAGTACATTTTTTATTATTTCTTTCAACAACGACCTGTTGGTGACAAACTCACTGAGGTATTATTCTCTGAACACACCTTTATCTTCTCTTTGCTCTTGAATAGATTAGCTAAGTACAGAATTCTAAGTTGATCTTTGTCATTTATTCTTCAAACCTCTTCCTTGCTTTTCACATTTTTCATCTTTCTGTATCCATCAGTCTTGTGCACCCTAGTCATTATTTTACACTTGACTCTTATTTACCTAGTCAATTTCTTCAGATCTACTTTCCATTCCCTATTTTTTGCTGTAGCTGTCCCTTAACTCCTTCACTGAATTCAAACTTACTCTTATTTATTCTTAGAAGTTCCGTTACCTCCAATTTCACACTGGCTTGTTCCTTTTTAAAATGTCACTATTATTAACTTTTACTTCTGTAACTTTTCAAATGTACCATTTGTAAAGTTCCTGGCAAACAAAAAGTAGTATCTGTTGTATTTCTCTCTCACAGATCATTTCATAAATGGGTTTGCAATTTTTAAAAAAGGATTTATTAACGCTTACAGACCTGGGGGAACAGGCCAGAGGTGCAAGAGGTAAGAGGAGTCACCAGAGACAGAGTAGAGAGCAGAACAGGAGATTTACTGAAATATAATGCTGAGAGGAGCAGCGGGCGGGTCAGGAGAGGTCTGCTGCACCATGTGTGTCAGCTCCCTGGCCAGGATCAAACTGTGCTGCAGTGGCTGCTGACAGCTTCATAGTGCTGTGCTTTAACCCATCACACCACCCGGGAAGCCCTGGGTTTGCAATTTTTGATAATGAGTTCACCTTTAGCAGAGATTTTCTCTATCGGAGCCCCATTTGTAGCATCTCTGGGCCAGCAAAGTATTTCTAATCTCTCCTTCTTAGGAGTCAACACTTCTGAAAAAGTCCTAGCCTTTACAAAAATGTCAGTCCTTGAGTAGACTCAAGATAGATTTCTATGGTATGGGGGCACTAAACCTAACCACTGACCTAAATCTAGTATCTATTTGGACCGGCCTCTGGACAACCTAGTTTAGGGTTTAATTTCTGATAGATATTTCTCTGACTTTTATTTAAGTTTAGTTTTACAATTCAGACTCGCATTGCTGTTAGACTTAGTTAACGTGTTTGATCTGTTGCTCAGAATGGGAAGCCAAAATTAACTTAATCTATCATGTTGTTGGAGCTAGCAAATTGGAGAACTTGTACCTAAGAATAAATGCTACTTGATAATTCTCAAATTAATTTACTATTTTTTTAAGGTAAGTCTTTTACATCTATAATCTTAAGTGAGGATGATTTACAGCTTTCTTGTCTAGTGCTGGCATTATCTATTTACAGATGCAGTTATGATGGCCTAGTACAAAGAGCTGGATGGATCCCAACCTTTTCATGTGTCTGCAATGGTGTATTCCTGCTATGGTATGTATTTCTTGAAAGTTCAGAAATGGATTGTACAACAGTCTGGACTTGATGCTTTCTTTAGGGTCTTTGATTTTCATTCCAACACTTTTATTATAACTAGCTTGTGGCATATTCGGATTTTCTATTTCTCCTGGTAGCAAATTTGGCAATATCTATTTTCCATGAGAAATGGCCATTTCCTTTAGGTTTCCCAATTCATCGACATAAAACTGTTTATTTTCTTATAGTTACAAAAAAGCAAAACTGTTCTGTAAAATCCCAACTTTCTTTTATCAAGCTATTTTATGGTCCAATCACTTTCATATTCATTTTTATTATTCTTTACAACTTCAGGTTTATTAGTAGTCCTTTTTCAGTTTCAGCGTTGAATTCTAGGCTACTTAAGGTTGTAATTTCCCTTCTGAATATCACTTGAGACGGAAGACATGGGTTTAGAGATGTTCTGCTTTACCAGCCACTTAATTTTGACAGTTTAGCTTATAAATTATCTTTACTCCAAATTGCTTACTTTTCAAATTTCAGATGTTTTTACTGTTTTTTTTTTCTTTGTTATTGATTTATAATTTTATGGTACTGCAGTCAAGGAAGGTTCCATTCTGAGTAAATTCC